TTTTTCAAATTTCTATTATAAGCATGTAATACATTTATAAAGAAAAATATTAAAAATAAAAATGCTTAATGGTATCTTTCCATAACACAGGAAAACACCCGCCAATCAAGAAATTCAAGGTTTGCTTATAATTCTGTTCTTTTTAAAAATTGAAGTATAGTCAGTTACCATGTGTCAGTTTCTGGTGCACAGCACGGTGTCCCCGTCATGCACATACACACATATATTTGTTTTCATATTCTGTCTCATTTAAGGTTATTACAAGATATTGATATAATTATTCTTAATTTTCTGTGACAAAAAAAAAAGAATTGCAGACATTATTAAAATATGGCTAATAGGGGGAGGGCATAGCTCAAGTGGTACAGCACATGCTTATTAGCATGCATGAGGTCCTGGGTTCAATCCCCAGTGCTTCCTCTAAAAATTAATAAATAAACCTAATTACCTCCCCCCACAAAAAGTAGTAAAATTAAAAAATAAATAAGTAAAAGAAAAGAAAATATGGCTAATAGAAAAAAGCAAAAAGAAGAAAATAATTAACCAGAGGTAATCAATATAGACGTAGAAATCTATGTATATATAAGAAATAATATCATACTATATGTTGTATTGTAACTTAAACAAGAACTGAAAAAACGTTATGACAAATTTTCCTTGCCTTTAAATACCCTTCTACCTAACATGAATGTTAAATGGCATGATGGTACCGCAATTTATTTAACCAATCTCTTATTTTTAGATACTCCCAACATTTATTATAAACAAGGCTGTAGGGAATATTCCTGAACAAAAATACATTTCTACACCTACAGTTTTCACTCCCCTTATTTTTCCCCTTAACATCCCGAGACATGAAATCATAGGCCAGAGGTGTGCATACTTTAAAGCGTCATGACATTTTGTCCGAATTCTCTCCCTGGCCGTGTTTTATTACTTTACATGCCCATAAGCAGCATATGCGAATTTCTACTTCTCTACACCTTTGCTGATCCAGGTACTGAGAAATCAAAAACCAAAAGGAACCCAAATATTTAGCAAAGGCAAAAATAATGCTTCCTTATTTCATTTTAACCTCTTTTTCTTACAGTGACAAATAACATTTTACTTTATTTCTTGTCTATTTTACTGTGATTTTGGGGGATGCTGCTCATGTCCTTGGCCCATTTTTTGGGGGGAGATTCAACTTCTTGGGATTTCGAAGACTGCAGTTTACAGTCATGAAACAAGAGTGTTAGCCCTTTTCAAGGCAATCAGATGTTGCACAATATTTTCCTGTCTGTCATTAATATTTTTCATATGGAAGTTTTCTTTTATGATATCTATTGTTGGCTTTTCTTCAACTTAATATTACAAAAATTCATCTTGATGTTTCCTTCTAGCATTTATTTACATATAGAGTCAATATTTTTTGTGTTTACTATGCATTTGGCACCTCCATTGGTATATGAAGTGGATGATGGATTTATTTTAATGTCCTCTCAAGTAAACTTACACATTCTACCCTCAAATTCCAAACTACACCACCAACAACGTAACACTGGGGCACATTGGGTGACCTTTCTGAGTCTCAACTCTCTTGGCCATAAAACACTTAAATCACCTTATGAGTAATTAAATCATCCCAGAACAATTTGTTGAATAATGAATTCTTTTCTCATTTGCTTGAGATGCTGTTTCTTTACGGACATTTGATTTAGTTAGGCTAACGTCTTATTCTTACATGTCTACTCCTAAACCAATACCATATTGGTTCGTGGCTCATAGCCATGTGATATCTGAGTCTTCTTCCTGCATAAACCTGTCCATCATCACTCTTTCCCACACTTTCTTGCCGGGCCTTTCCCACGGCTGTGGTGTGGTGAGGGAGGTGTGCCACTGTGAGTTGTCTGAGCTGGCCCACGGCAAACCCATATTGGCCTCACATCCTTTCCATGTCAGATTTTTGGTTATAAATGTACACAATTTAACCTCCCCCGTTGTTCTCCAGACAGCTGAGGAAAGGCTAAGCTGGTTCTCTGGATCATACAAAATTTTTCGTAAAATAAAGCTTTGTCGGTTTCTTGTAAACACAGTTGGTGTTATGATGGGTATCTGCTGGAATAATGGATTGACAAAACAAAAGGGCTCGATGCTCATGTTCACAGCAGCATTTCATTCATAATTGTCCAGAGGTGAAGCAACTCAAGTGCTCATCGACACATGACAAGATAAACGAAATGTGTATGTGCATGTATTCATGTAATGGAATATTATTCAGTCAATACAAAGGAAGGGAATTCTGACACGTTATAACTTGGATGGCTCTTGAAGACACTACGCTCCGCGAAGGAAGCCAGTCACAAAAGGTCAGATACTGTGTGATTCCACTCAGATGGGGCACCTAAAGTCGTCTAATTCATAGAGACAGAAAATAAGAAGGTGGATGTGGGGGCTGGGGGGGGCGGGGATGGATGGGGAATCTGCGTTTAATGGGGACAGAATTTCAGTTTTGCAAGATGAAATGAGATGAATGGGGGTGACGGTTGTACAACGATGTGAGTGTATTAATGCTACTGAACTGTGCACTTAGAAATGGCTAAGACGGTCAAGTTTATGTTAAGGATACTTCATCATTATCAATTGATCCGTCAACCAAATCAAAGAAAAAGCAAACGAAACTGAAAGCAGCTCTTGATTTGGTAGATCCACATCAGCTCCAAGTTCTGAGACCAAAAGAAAAAAAGCCCCGTGCATCCACTGCACAGTTGCAGGGAGACAGAGAAGCAGGAGATGGTGATGGCTTCTTATTTTAAAGGACTGGAAAGCCAGGGAGACTGGGAAGGGAGCAAGCTGAGTGGAGCCTGGTGACTTTAAGGGGGTCTCCTCAGAGATTCCCCACAAAGCACGGCCAACGGAGCAGGCGGGGCACCCCTGACCTGCATGCAGCTCCCCCTGAGCCTCTCCCGTACGTGGATGCTTTACCGATGAAGACAGGGTCCAGGTCACGGGCACTGGGTAAATATGGACAAACTCACCCCCGTGAGCTCCCCATTTTGGTGGGGGCTCCGAGTGGCAGTGTCCACGTTACAGAGGAGAACAGATCTGACTCCATATGGTCTGTTCCTTTAGTTTTGACCAATGTGCCCTGTTTTCTAGGCTCAGTCTTGCCTACTCCGCACCTTTTATGAAATAATGTTGCCTTTGGCCTGAAATAGACAGGAGAGCGCATTCTTGGGGCTCTGACCTTGAAGGATGTCAGCACTTCTGCACTTTTGCAGAGATGGCCAGTTGCAAAATAGAGAAGACCCTTTGTTTTGTTGGAGGTTTGCAGGGGCACCATGCCCTGACCCCCAGGAGCAGCTGCAAGAACACAGGATTCCTGCACCGAGAAGTTTGCAACAACCAACCACAGCCCCTCCCCTGTTTTTTTTTTGTATAAAACGAGCCTGTATGTTGACTAGAGCAGGATGGTTCTGTAGGACATCAGTCCTCGGCTGTGCTGGGGGGTGATCTGCCAGCAAGGGCGCTGCCACCGGGAAAAAACACTTTCCCTTCTGTCTTAAACAGGTGCTCGGGGGGAGGGTGTAGCTCAACTGGTAGAGCACATGCTTAGCATGCATGAGGTCCTGGGTTCAATCCCCAGTCCCTCCTCCAAAATATAAATTTAAAAAAACCCCGAACCACCCCCCCAAATAAACAAAAATTAAAATTTAAACAGGTGCTCCTCTAGTGATCAGATAGTCTGTTGTAGGTTAATGCAGCTCAGCATTAACTCTGCCTTCTCTGATCCCCCACCCCGAGACCCCACAGCTCTGCACCCCCTGCCCCAGAGCTGCAGGCAGAGAAGACGCGTGGGGACCACTTACAACCGCCCGGCTGGTTCTGAAAGTCCATCGACATATTGCTGAGAAATTCGCTGTTGACGATGTCTCTCCACTGGACAGTCTCCACGCTGCACAAGCTGGGGTTGTTGCTGAAGCGCACGGCGCCTTGCAGGATCTCTGTGCGACAAAGGAGCCCCCGTGAGCACACATGCCATCTCTTCTCGATTCTGGGAGACATGCATGTGTCTCCTCGCATTTTGCCTTCTGCTAAAAGGATGACAGTGTGCAAATGAGAATCCCCCCCACCCCGAACTTCGGAGGTCGGGGGCACTGAAAAGCGAGAGGGGGGAGGCAGGGGGCCTCTGCACTGGGTCCCTGAACAATGAGTGATGGGAAGTGAGACACATGGGGAGAAAGGACAAGGGTGCTGTGGTCACTCAGCATACAACGAGCTGGCGGTCCCTGGGAGGCTGATCTGGGCTGCACCCCAGTGACCACGCGATGACCCCGTGGGAGGGCAGAGTGGAGGGGAAGATGCTGTGAGGCTCTGGGAGCATTTCAACGGAGAAGGGGGTGTGAGGGTGAAGGGGAGCGAAAAGGGTCTGCGTGTGTGATGAGGAGACAGGGCAGCAGGAATGCAGAGACATAAAAGATGTCAACTGCTCAAAGGAAGAGACGGCAGGACGTGAGAATTCCAGCCTACGCAGAGGCAAGCGTCCCGTCTGTGGCATCTTTGTCTAAACATTGACTAACCGACCTGTGCGCAGAGCACAGCGTGAGAGCCCTGGGGACGCTAAGGTCAATGATTCCTGCTGGCTCCAATGACCACGTCCACGGAAGGCCGTGAGCCATGGCAGGTGGTAGAGACCTCGTGGGTTTATACCCGTGGTCTTAGCTGATCCTCGCAGTGGCCCTGTGACTACTGTAACTCCAGCGCGGATGCACTAGTGATGCCCAGCATCCCGCAAGCGGGGACGGGACGCAGGAAAGGAAGAGCTCTCGTTGGAAGCTCGCCGAGGCTGCTGGAAAGGAGGACATTGCCCAGAAGGCTGGGGGGAACGCAGGCGCAGGAAGACGGAGGGGGCGCCCTGAGCAAAGGCGCGGAGGATCCAGTCACAGGCTGGGAGGAGGTCTGCACCGGGGAGCTTTGGACGTGCAGTCAGAGACGGCAGGACCATCAGGTGAAAACAGGGGTGCAGGAGGGAGGCAGAGTCAAGGGGACAAACTCCGATGCGAGGTCAGAGCTGGAGACGCAGAAAAGAGAGGCTGCGGGAGCACCAGGATTACAGCCCAGGGCCAGGAAAGAGGGGACGTGGGCAGGTGGGAGGCCTGGCAGGACCTGAGGTCAGGGGGTGAGGACGGAGGGCCCTGTGCTGACTGTCCATAAGGGCTCGTAATTCATGTGAAGTTCACACGGGAGGGTTATTTAATGCCATTAAACAATCGGGATTGATACTGTAACAGGACAGAACAAGTCTGACTCCACTTTAACCCTGTGCCCTGTTTTCTGGGCTCGGTCTTGCTGGCTCTGCGCCTTTTGTAAAACAATGTTGCCTTTAGCCTGGAATACACAGGAGAGCCCGTTCCCAAGGCTCTGCCCTTTAGGGATGTTAACACCTTCGCACTCCTATAAAGATAACAAGTTGCAGAACAGAAAATAACCTTTGTTTTGTGGGAGGTTTGCAGGGGCACCGTGACCTGGCCCACGGGCACAGCTGCAAGAACAAAGGATTCCAAGAACAAAGGATTCCTGCACCAAGGAGTTTGCAACCACCAACCACACCTCTTCCCCTTTCTCGTATACAAGGAGCCTGAATTCTGACTCGGGGAAGATGGTTCTCCAGGACATTTGTCCCCGATCTTCTCAGTCTGCTGGCTTTCTGAATAAAGTCGCTATGCCTTGCCCCACACCGCGTCTCCTGATTTATTGGCCTGTCGTGCGGCGAGCAGGACGAGTCTGGACTCGGTAACAACGCAGCCACAACAACAGAAATGATAGTGTAGGAACGGCCGCCGCCGCCGGCACTTCATCTGGAGTAATTCACTTAATTTTCTCAACAACCCCGGGGAGTCTGTCAGCATCCTTAGCCACGTTTCTGAAGACACAGAGAGATGTTCCGGGGCATCTGGCTGGTGAGCAATGGGGGAGGGCTGGAGCCCCGACAGTCCCGCTGCCACCTCCCTCTGCCTGCCCCGGGGCCCCGGGCGCGGACCGCACAGATGAGCAGCATCGGAGCCAGTGGGCATCCCTAAGGCATTTTACAGAATGCAAAACCCGGGGGCTGCCCCCAGGGACAGACAGACAGCAGGGCCCTCCGGGCTCGGGCAAGTGCACACACGTGACAAACGTAGATGGTTAGACCCGGATCCCGGCCGCCCCAGCATCCCGGCCCCGGGGGGCAGGCAGGCTTCTCCACGCCAGCACCGCTCCGTGTCCTGCACCCTCGCCTTCCATCCCCCCCTTTCCTGGGGGCCCCCGCCTGTCAGAGCTGCAGGGCTGCACGGAGATAAGGGGCTCTGGGCACAGACAATTGGGCATCCCGGCCGACTGTCACTCACGTGGGACGTTAGAGGGGGGTGCTTTGCCACGATTTCTTTATTTGCACGATGGCAGAGCGTAGCATGTGCCCTGAAGGAGGGCTGTTGGCATTAAATGAAGCTACCAATTAATTAAATGAAGGCACTGTAACTGCCATGAGCACTGCTGTCTTCATTTTAAAAAAAAGTCAATTTCTTTCCTATCACCTTTCACAGTTTCCTCTCCCAGGCGCTTACTCACAAAGATTCAAACTTCATGCTCTATCCTTAACTTAAAAACAGCTTTATGCACAACAGCATTTCTCTGGGAAATGCCCCGAATACGGATTGATGTCCCTGAGGTCCGGGTGAAGACCAGGAACAAAATGTCTGCGGAGCCCACGTCACCTGGTCATGCTCTCTTCCTCCCAGAACCTTCCCCACGTCTGACTCAGTCTCTGGCTATTGAACGGCGGAGACCTGGTACTTGGCTTAAATCTTCCCTCCTCACCCCGCCATCCACTATCTTCTTAGCAACTTCCACCTGCTATAGCCTGCCCTGGCTGGCACTTCGTTCTTCTGTGTATGATGAATCAGTCTTCTCCGAGTGGCATTAGGAAAAGGGACAGCTTTGCTGAGCACCATCCGAGCCGCTCTCCCCAGGCCCCGGCCTCTCACCCTGCAGGTTTCTCATGGGCAGCTCCCGCAGTCCGGTTTTATTCGCCCCGTAGTTGGACAGGACCGCCAAGGCGTGGGTGTTTTCATAGAGCACGTTGCCCCTGATGATCTGCAGGTTTTCCAGAGGAATCTTCTCCACGGTGTTGAGGGCAATGAGTACGTAGCCGGCCACCTCCTGGATGGTCTAAGGAGTGGAAACGTGAGTGTGTTATTTCCCTTGTGAGGAACTGGCGAATGCAAGATCTAAGATGTGGCAGAGAGCACATGAGTGGTTGACACACATAAAGGCACCCAGATGATGGATGACAGCTGGGGCCGGCGGGAGGTGACAGGGTGACAGTGACCCCTGCCCTCTTGCCTCTGGAGCCCGCTGGCAACAGCAAACGACAAAGTGTGTCATTTCGGAAGGCTATGATGTCTTTCGTTTGGTGTTTCACACACTCAGATGAAAACAGAAATGGCATTAATTTATTTTCTATCTGTCTTGCAGGCTTTCCTATTAAAAAAAAAAAAAAGAACAAAACCCCAGAAAAAAGCCAAGTGATCCCAAGTTCAAATACACCAAACCTGGAAGCCTTCAGGGCTGGCTCCTAATTGGCTCAGCAAAACCTACCGTGAAATATTCGGGAATGTTGCGAAATGGTCGTTGAACTCTTGGTAGCTGGGAACCCACCATGGTGGGAGCATTTATACCAGGGAAATAGGCAAATGAGACAAAGCAGGATTTTTTTTTTTTTAAAGAGCCAGGATGTGGGGGCACCAGAGCTGAAGCACTGGTTAGAGGATGAATATGGGTGTCCTTGATGACGGCAGGTGCCAGACGACTGTTTTTCTCTTTGATATTTTATAGCTCGAACTTGACACTGGCTGGTAAAGTAGCCTTAATTTTTCTTTTTTAAATTTTAAATTTCTGTTTGTTTGTTTGGTAAGGGGGAGGCAATCAGGTTTATTTATTTATTTATTTAGAATGGAGAGGTTCTAAATAAATAAAGACTTAAGATGGAACCCTGGCCCTTGTGCACGCTAGGCACGCCCTTCGCCACTGAGCTCTACCCTTCCCACCTAAAGTGGCCTTTTCATAAAACTCGCACACACCGTTCCTGAGGACTTG